ATAGTCTTCAATTTCCAGATAGTGCTCTTGAATCCAGTTGAAGATGTTTTTCGTGAAGATCTTGGCAACATGTTGGAGGATCGAGATTTTCTCCAACACTATGTAAGGGGCTGATTGTTTCCCATCGTAGTCGGACTCAGTCTCTTTGCGCCTTTTGTCAGCCAACAAGCTGCATGTATGAAGAAAACCAAATTGCCCAGACTAATATCCATATACAAACAGAGCAAATATCCAAACAACAAAAAAATGTATCACACCATCACATACAAATACCTGAAAAGCATCTAAAAATATCCATAAGGTGCTAAGTAATATCCATAAATGTCCAACTAGTATTTGGATAACGTACCAGTTAACGTGGATGAAAAACTCGTCGAGATTATGTTTCGGTTTCAAGAAGAGTCGCACTTGTGCATTGCACAACTCACTGGCTTGCGTTGTCAACATTCCCGCTGTGAATTGATCTCTCAGATATAAGGAACACCATTGATGACGAAATTTCTTCAAATATTGCATCCATTGGTGGCCATCGACAGTTTCACTACCGGGAAAACAATCAGAAACCATGCTGCTCCATGCCTCATCAAACTCGGTCTCGCTATCGACGTAGTAGAAAAGATAAGCAAGATGATTTTGGAACTTATGCCAAAATTTCTTGCTCTTACGAAGATTCTTCTTCGCATTCATCAAGATGTGCCAAGTACATAGGGCATGAAACACATCTGGCCACTCCTTTCTAAGGGCAGCTGCCATACCGGTGTCCTGATCCGTGAAGATGGTCACTGGGAGTTTCCTCTTCATGCACCGACTAAATGCTTCAAACAACCATTCAAAAGAAGGAGTTGTCTCGTCATATAACAAAGCACCAAACACACAAGTTTGTCGGTGATGATTGAAACCTACAAACATCCCTGCAAAAGACTTGGTATTAAAAACATTGCATAACCGCTTGCGTGTCAAAAAAATAAGGAAAATAAGTGGTCAACATACCCAATGGCCGGAAGTTTTTATTGGTTCGGAAGGTGGTGTCGAAGGAGACAGAGTCTCCGAAAAGTGCATAATCTTCGCGCATCCTACTGTCTGCCCAAAAAATATTGGCAACTTTCTCCTCACAATCTACCTCTACAGCATAAAAGAAGCCGGGATACTTCTCCTTTTGGATTTGAAAGTAGTCAAGCAAGAAAGTCGCTTCGCCACGAGACATAGTCTTTTGTCTGTTCTTGTTCAAATGGTTCTTTTGATCACATTTGGTAAAAGTCAAGTTCTCATACCCTCCGGCACACTCAGCCAATAGCTGATACGATGACCTAAGACTCATCCCGGCATTGCGATTTGCTTCAGCAACAAGTCCTTGAGGAACGCTCACGGACTTGTTTGACTTTAATAGGTGAGCATGCTTGGTGGAGTGCAAATCATGATTGTGAGCTCCAATGCAATTGTGCACCACATATCCATCCCTATACTCATCCCATCAGAAACGAACAAGGGCGGGGCATTCAGCCCTAATTCGAGACCTCTTTCTTTTAGGGCGGCTTCTCTCTACAACCGAATCCTCTCCATGTTTCTGTTTCTCAACATTGACTTCTTCTGTTGACCCTTGCTTATTACAAACATAATAAAGGTAGGCATAAATTTCCACCACCTCTCCTTCAGAATTCTTATTTTTTCTCAAATGTTGCGAATCTACTCGAACACCAAACCCTTTTTTGTGAGCATAGCGTTCGTAGAAACGAACACACTCTTCCTTAGTGCAAAAAGAGATGTTATTCCTCGCTTCATCATCTTCTAGGTCCGAAGTGTTGTGAGCTGCAAGATATTTCCATTCCCAGTTAGTATCCAATGTGCCCAGAATAATTCCCAGAATACGTCTAACAAATATCCGTAAACAGTAGTATCCATGAATCTTAAACTAGTATCCTATTGCTCCAACAATGTATCCACACTATAATCCGACATACTAGTATCCACAATAATTGAATGAATATAAAAAATGCCCAGACTAGTATCCACACAAATTAAACATAGGCTACAAACTACGTCCAACAAACAGTAGGTAACTAGTATCCAACTAGCTCATAGTAGAATCCCAGAAGACCAACAAACATTAAACTCACACCAAAGACATTAAATTTCATTCAATGCTCCCAACCAAAACTCAACAACACAAACTTATAAATATGTCAATCAACAATCACCTTCTTCTTCTTCTTCTTCTTCTTCTTCTTGTACTGTTGCATCGAAGCCAAACACACAACCACCATCTATTTGAGTCAAACCTTCTAATACACCATCAACAAATTCTTCTTCTTCATGGGACGAGCTCGTTGATGGACGATCTAACTCGGCCTCATCATCGATCATCATCAGCAACGTTTCCTGGACGGCGGAGGATGAAGAGGAAAGAGACAGGCTGCCGCCGGCGACTTTTCGGTCGGAGAAAAGAAGAGAGAAGGAGGGGTTGGGAGAGTTGAGAGAGAAAAAGTGGTTGTGGCATTAATTGCCCTATCACTTCTTTTCTTTCCCCAATTTTTTGAAAATACCCAAAAGCCCACCCAAAACTGATTCGGGCCCACCCATACTAAGATGTTCACCATAACAAGTATCCACGTCACCACAAATAGTATCTCAACAATCCACACAAATATCCAACACAAGAAATAAATGAATATTCTATAGGTTCAAAAAAATATCTAAGAAACCCAAAACAATATCCACATAATACAAAAAAAAATCAAGAAATAAGTAAAACATATTTACAACAAAGACTGACAACTAATATCAAATTGTTGTACCCTAAACCCTAAACTCTAAACTCACCCTAATCTCAAAGGTTACACACAAATATCTAAACACATGAACTAATATCAAAGGTTACACACAAATATCTAAACACATGAACTAAAGGAATATTTCCTCAAGTTCAAATAAATATCGACACATGGGGCTGCATGGCAGATGAAAACCGCACCCTCCCCATGCGGTTTTCATTGTTGCTTTAGCCTATAAAAGGCAGCCCCAGGAAACCTCTTCTCTTCACACCTCTCCTTCTCCCTTTTCAATTTTCTGTTGTAGCTCTATATTTCTTTAGTGTTTTTGCGATTAACGTTAACTCGTAAGTTTATTTTGTATTACTTTTTATTGTGATTTGTGATTTTTATGATATTAACTGAAGAGACCGGAAAGGGGGTAACCTACGTCGGTGGCAATTTTCAGAAAATAAAGGTCTCTACCAGACCGATGCTTGAAGACCTCCATAAAATGTGCACTAACGTTACTTGCATGGATGGCACGAGAAGAGTTGATCGTATGGTGTACCGATATCCAAACAGAGAAGGTGGGTCGTTGTGGCATGACGAATATCTCATAACCACTCAGGATGAAGAAGATTCCATGCTCTAATTCTTGAGGTCCAACAATCTTTCCAAAGCCGAGATGTTCGTTTACACCGAGGCGGCCGTTGGGGTTGGAGGTCATTCTAGACACGGTCAAACATCTGGTATCCATGGTGGAGGTGAATTATATGGCGATCATCCCTTCCAAAGTTACCATGATCCTCATTCCTATTTTCAGTACCAAGATCAAGGTGAAGGTCATCATCAATCTTTCCCGTCATATGAAGAAGAAGTTCAACCGGACCTCCCTAACCAACCCTAGTACAACTTCCAATCAGGCAGCGGTAGTTTTCACAACTACCATTATGGAGCTGATGAAGGTGTCTTTCATGAGCTGGATCAGATGGAAGTTGCCCTGCCAGCACCAGTTAGTGACCCCTCCGATGAAGAAGGAGAGAACAACGTCAATGTAGACAGCTCCGACCCTCTTGAAGGTGCTGATGATTCAGGACCAGAGTCAGATAATTATGATGAGGTGGCTCGTGACCGTGTACTTTGTTCGTATTATCAGCACCTTCAGAGGGACGTTTATTTGAACCTGCGAAAATATTCCTTTAGTAGGAAATATTCCCCAGGTTCAAATAAACGTCCCTTCTATCTAATATTACCTACTTTGTTCGTATTATCATACGTCAGCTAAATTGTTACGACATAGAACATAGAAGTATATATCGATTTGTTGAAACATTAAACGTCGCTCCTATCTAATATTACCTACTTTGTATAAGCTGTTAATTTTTCAACAAGAAACCCCTACCCCGAACCCTAAACAATGAACACTACTAAATAAACTCTTAAAACAATATAATCAGGAAAGAATAGATATTCAGACTGACCAGACTAAACCTTAAACCCTAAAAGAGAACCCAAACCCTAATGTTGAAACCTTAACCCTAAGCTCTATACTGTAAACCCTAAACCCTAAACCAAACCTATACCATAAGCCCTAAAAAATAAACTATAAACAATAAAAACTATTATTATTTAATGGGCCTTCGGCCCATGGGCCCTCGACGGGCAACCCTAACTAAGGTTGCAAGCCTTATGTGTTAGGACTTGGTAGTGTGTTTAATTTGATGTAAGACACAATATTCCAATCCTTCACAAATTGAAAACCATAACCATAAACCCTAAAACTTAAACTATAAATTGGTGTAATCAGTTTATGGTGGTTGGGTTATTTTGTGCCGCCGTTAAACATTAGTTTAATGATGGATATTGGTTTGCGAAGGAAGAATACTAGTTCATTTCAAGAATGATGCAAAGTAATATCAACACAACACAAAATAATATCGACTGAAAACAAATAAATATCCACACAAACAAACATACATAAATATCAAAGAGGGCCCATCAATTTTCGTTCTCTTTCCACTACTCTCCATTCTCCCGCCCAAACTCAAGCCGGGCCCACAACGCCACTTGCTCGGATTCACCGTCGCCGCATGCTAGGCCGGCTTCTACCCGTTGGCCCATCTCAAGCTCACTTAAGTGAGCCACACCAAGCTACCTCTCCCCTCCGTTGGATGAAAATGGCCGACGTGGCCCATAATTCTATCCTGTTAGTATCTGCTAACACTTTAAGCAGTTAACAGATTAACTTCGACGGTTGCAGCGAGGGAAAGACTTCTAGCGACGAATTGGGAAATTTTTCCAGTTGGGAAGCTTACAAAATCGCCCGAAGTGAAATGATGTGAAATGAATGAAAGGGATTATGGGATTAGAATCCGCAGGTGGCGTCCACCATTCCTCCTTTGTGGCTTCTGCTCCAAAATTCGCTGCTACTACCACTCCGTCTGGGCGCCCCTCTTTTGCTTCTGCTACTGCTACTACTTCTTCCAATCGGTGATTGATCGCTTCAGTTGCGGTTGGGAGATTAATGCTTTGAACTGAATGGGGGCAGGAGGCCTTTGATTGAAAAGTTTGTTGGTTTTGGGGGTTTTTGTTTTGTTCTTGTCGTTGGTCAATGGATGGGGACAAGGGAGTTACTGGCGAGCCTCAAGTGCGGGAAGGTATTTCGACGCCATGGCAGCCGAGGCAGCTGGCTTTCAAGCTATATCAAGCTGCTCAGCGGTTGCAAACTGAGCGCGTTGTTGTAAAGAGACCTGTAAGTGCTTCTCTGCCCTCTTTCTGGTCTGGAGTCTGTTCGTTTGCGTACCGGCTCGCATTATCTACCTGACATCGCAGGAGCTATGTGTGAGCTAGCTCGATTCAGTAGGAAAATGATAGCTCAATTTCTCTTGAAATCACTGGAAGGAAATGTTGGATTTACATATTTGCAACAAATGTGCTGGCAGACGGTATCTTTTCACCTAACAAATGCATTCTCTGGACCATAGACAAACATTCAATTTCCCTAACGAAAAAAAAGACTTGTTGATAGTTATGTTCTCCTATGAATCGACATCTTTTTGAAGCATAAAGCAGGAGCTATGTGGGTGGATTAGTGCATAACAAGATAAGAAGCATCATGCATTCTATTGCTACATTGCCAACAAGTTGCAGTGCATATTTCTAATCTTCAATTTGCCAGTTTAGGAATTACCTTTTTCATTATGGATGTCAACCATCAAGGACTAAAAATTATAGGTCTCTTCTCTTTATACGAGGAGCTATAATGTTGGTGCTTTTGCGCTTTCTTGTAGGATTGATAGCACTGCGTGGGTTAAGGTTCACCTAGGTTCTGTTATATACTGTATTTCTAGTCTGATAAGCAACTTGTTTTTTATCCTGTCATCATGCACTGAGTTGCATACTGCAAGTATCATAGAAGCTTCTTGATACCTTTGTTGAAACAAGAACTGGTCAGTTAGCCTTTTCTCTAGTAATTCCCATTGGTAGAAGCTATATGTTTGTTATTTCTACTTGTTACAAGCTAAATTTTCTTTATTTTCGTCCGTTTAATGGTATGCCATAGTGAGGACTGAGGCATTAACCCTTCAATGAATTGGTGCCTCCTCAGCTCTTCTTCTTTTGTTCTTATAGATGCATTCTGGGTGACTAGGATGTCATATATTAGATGTCTGGATTGGGGATTTTTTTAATTCAAAGACGTAAGTTTTCCCTGCTCTTCTTAGTATGTGTCCACATTATTGACATAAGGGAGTGCCTTTCATGCAGATTTCCCAGGGTAGCTAGTTCTTTTAATCATTAGGTTAGTGAATTATATGAATTGTTCTGGATCTCCCATAGGCATTTTCTTTTTTGATAATGGTGAAACTCCCATAGGCATATTCATCTCTGACATTTGCAGATCTCTGGTGTCATCTCCCATGTATGCAGTCTAGTCTTCTCATAACTGCTTTAAGTAATTTGAGTTAATATTTTGAATGGCCATATGGCGGTCTATGAGAATGTGTGTCATAGGATGTGCGTAACTTATATTGCTAATTGCTGCTTGATTATATACCTACTTTAGGTGAAGGTGGCATTAGCCTGCATGTCCTTGTTCTGGTTTCAGCCTTTTTGCTTTGTGTAAGATCAATTGTCTTGTTACTTTAACTAAACAAGGGGAGTCTGTTATGATAATTGGTATTTCTATTATGTCAACGGGAGATTAAATTTACTAGAGTCGAGTCATTCTGCTAATTGATGACTTCTAATATGCAGTTGGTGGCAAGATTGACCAAAAACATAGTTGAAACTTATAAAAAGTGCAATCCCCAATTTAAATATTCAGAAGACTTAAATCCCAAGAGATACCTGACCAGTCCAATCAATTGGAGTTCTCAATGATGGCCATGATAATCTAAACTCGGATCTTATTTTGAGCGTGAATTGCCCCTTGATCAACCCCGAGACACACAGAAGGTTTGTTAATGCTTTTTTCTTCACCCCTTCTCACTCTGTAACCAATCAGTATAGCAAATTTCATTGTAAAACTTTATATATATATATATATATATATATATATATATATATATATATATATATGAAACTTTACAATAGGAGCTGAATTCTTGGTGATGTTAGATGATCTATGACAATATGTAATTTTCTTAACCAATATTCAGCCTCAATATAGTAATAAGTTTATCTATGGATAACTTAACTTTGAAGTTGTTTGAAGTTATTGGTCATGAGATGTCTTTAAAATTCTTTCACTTGTCTGGTTTTTTTTTTTTTTTTTTTTTTTTGTATTCCCTTTCCCACTCAATTCATGTGTTTCTGCCTTGGTAAATTCGCCACTCTGGCTTTTGCGTGGTTTCTACTGAAGTCATGAGCTTTTTATGACAATAAGTGCAAAAATGAATGTCCAGCACCTTATGGTTCAATTTTCTTTTGGAATCTGTTTGTATCCTGAAACACCTGTTTGCCTCTAGACATTAGTAGTACAATTAAACATCTCTGCGAGTTTGTTTACTACACCTGATATCTGTGTTAACTTGACATTTTATCAAAGTTTGATAAGTTCAAGGAAGTGTGATGCCTGTATGAACGATTATAGTTTAATCTCTTTCACTTCAATGGCTTTGTCAATACTCCGACATCTGCAGATACGTTGTCAAAGATGTCCTTGGCCAAGGAACTTTTGGCCAGGTTGCTAAATGCTGGGTTGCGGAAACTAACAGTTTTGTTGCAGTAAATATAATTAAAAAGCAACCAGCTTATTATCAACAAGCACTTGTTGAAGTATCTATTTTGACAACGGTAATTATGAAGCTGTTTTAAATGTCGTCTCATCCCTGTTTGCAGTCTGATACTGATGCTCTTTTCGGTTAATTTTCAGCTAAACAAGAAGTATGATCCTGAAGATAAGCATCATATTGTCCGTATCTATGATTACTTTGTCCATCACCGGCACCTTTGCATTTGCTTTGAATTGCTCGACACAAACTTGTAAGCTGGCCTAAAAAGCTCACTAATTAATTTATGATGTGTTACTTGATCTATTGGCTAATATTCTCAATCTTTAATCTCTTTTCTCTTGTATATTTTTTGCTTTGTATATTGTATTCTGACCATTTGTTACTACCAGGTATGAGCTTATCAAGATAAATCAATTTAGTCTTTGAGCATTGTTCAATTATTTTCCAAACAGGTAAAGCATATGGCTGCTTTGCATTATTTTGAAAATCTCCATTGTGTTTCACTTGCTTTTGTTTGCTTGTCTTTTAACCGTTTTTACTTTGAACAGATCTTACGTGGATTGGCCTTGTTGAAAGATGCTGGTATAATCCATTGTGATCTGAAACCAGAAAATGTTCTTTTGTGCACAAGGTAGTTGTCCTGAAAGAATGATGTTTTTGTGCCGAAGGACTGGCATTTCGTCATTTCCATTTGACGTTTTTTCTGTCCTTGGAAAAACAGTTTGAAGCCAGCAGAAGTTAAGATAATTGACTTTGGATCAGCCTGCATGGAGGATCGTACGGTCTACTCTTAAATCCAGGTTCACTTATATATTTGTTTAATTAGTTTATTTATTTATTTTATCATAGCCCTTTTGTTTGGCATGACTTGCATTTTTCTGTTTGATTGCAGAGTCGTTATTACAGGTCTCCTAAAGTTCTTCTAGGATATCAGTATCCTTCCAAATGAAATGTGGGTTTCGTGGATATTTTGTTTTTAGGTTTTCTTTTCTTCTTTTGTTGAATGCCCAAGAAATATAAATATATGATAAAACAAGGTGACTGCTCAAGAGAATCAGAGGATCTCAGTTAAGAGATATAGGGAACTGGACAATTCAAGTTTTAAGTTTAGCACTTGGTAGAAAGCTATAGTATGGGCATTTTCATTGTGCATAACCTTGTTTTATTTATGAAAGAGTGCAAGGAATTAATGGAAATGTCAAACATGAAGCATCTAAGTGGTTGCATTAAAAGAGTTGCACTTCTGGTGCCACTTTGTCCTGTGCTCACTGTAAAGGAGCAAGATTATAATACTGTGTTCCATTCTGTCAATCGCACATTATTATAATGTTAATCTTGATACTTTTTTCTTGGTCAGTTAGTTGTCAATTGGATGCATTTGAAATTTCTTCTGTGGTTGATCTTATTGTCACAAACTTATGACTTGACCTTAGCCATTTCAAGATATACTACTGCAATCGATATGTGGTCTTTCGGATGCATTGTTGCAGAATTGTTTCTAGAGTTGCCTCTCTTTCCTGGGGCCTCAGAATTTGATTTGTTGAGGCGAATGATTGAAATACTTGGGTAAGTCCGTTATTCTTTCACCCCAAATTGTTAGTTCATTATGTTCAATGATCCGTTAAATTTCGAGGTAATTAGTATATATCCCGTGCTTCACTTCAATGAAGATTGAAGGAGTCTATTAGTTGAATTCCTAAAACTTTGGTTGATGTCTTTTGTATTTGTTATTACACTTCTCTAGTGGGCATAGCAAGCTCTAACGCAGTTCCTCTTCAGTTCTGATTTCAGCACATCCTAAAGTTTAGGATCTAAATAGTCCAATTCTAATAATTTGTAGAGTACATCCTTTCCATCTTTTACTTTCACCATCTACCAATACTGAAAATAAAGAAATTACTTTAACTTTAATTCAATTAGTAAAATGCTGAAGCTAGACCTACCGCTAAAAGTAGCTGTGTGACCTAACAAAAAGCAAGGTAGGATTTCACTGTCCATGCGGTTTAGACCTTGCCCAGTATACCGTTCCAAGTGAAGCTGAATATTTCTTATGTTGTTCTCGTTCTCTATATTCAGTGGTTTGCTCTGTTTTATCGCCCATGCTCTATTAAAGGATACTGGTTGATTGATTCTTGGACTTTGTCATCGTTGGCTGAAATGCTGTAGAGGACAACCTCCTGATTATGTGCTGAAGGAGGCAAAGAACACCGACAAATTCTTCAAATGCATTGGCAACATTTGTAACTTAGAGGGTGTTGAGGCCTCATTGGGTGGCAGAACCGGGTATCAAGCACTAACTATAGAAGAATATGAAGCTGTAAGTGCCTCATCTGTTTCTTGAAGTAGGTGGAAACCATTAAGTATTTGATAACTGGATAGCATTGATGCATGAGTGTGCTCTCTCCTATGTGTTAGAAACCTAATTCTAGGGTTCTAACGGTCGGATTGATGAGATTGGGAATTGATAAATATTTAGGGATTGAGATAGAATTGGGGAAGAACAGAATTGGGAATTAGGGATTTAGAAGAGGAAATTGAGGATTGAGGGGAAGAATGGCCGACGGCCTAGGGATAGGTGACGAAATTGAGAGAGATTAGGGTTTGAGATACTTTCTGAATAATTGTTCTTGCTTGATTCTGAATAAAACACAAAGTACATATTTATAACGAAAGATGTGAAAACCTAATACTAAACCTAATTCTGCTAAAAGACTACTAACCATATTTAATAAAACCTAATAATAATGATAATATAGAAACTCGTTTTCCTTAGAAAACGTGTTTCTAACATCCCATCCCCCTAGAGACCAACCTTGCCCTCAAGGTTGATCAGCTTGACCCATTTCTTCAAGTCTACCGTGCAATCCACGTCTTGCCTCCTCCATTCTTGCGCTTTCTTTTCTTCCAATCGTGCTCCACTACTCGAACGTATCTCACGCCAGCAACTCCGACTCCAATGACTTCTTCCTTATCCACGTGGCTAGCGTCGTAGCCATAGCCTAATGACTGCCCACCATCTTCCTTCTCCGGTTCCTCCAAGAATGCGGCAGTGGTGGTGGTGGTGGTGACAAACGCCATTGCAGTCCCGGCAGCGGAGTGCAGAGAAACCGTCGGCGATCTTAGCTCAGACGACGAAAATCTCGCCCGACGGCACGGCAGATCACCCTCCTCGCCGGTCGATTCCTTTGCCTCGTCATTCCACGGGGGCTTCTCCATCGTGGCCTTCCTTTCCAGTGTCGAGCAGAGGGTTTTGCCATCCGTCGTCATGTCGGCTAGCAGTCGTGCCGCCTCCTCGCCTTTGAACACAGGTGCTGCTTCTGTTTGCTGCCCGGGCATCGATGTCACAGCTCTTCCCGGCATCACTGTGCCTCCCGACAGAGCTGCCGCTGTTCCGCTCGGCTGAAACGCTGTCGCGACCTCGCGCCCTCTTTTGCAGACTCGCACTGCTCCACCACCGTCTTCTATTTGCGCGGTCGGCCACTCTTCGGACAGCCAACGACGTCCGATGCGGCGAGCCCGGTCACGCAGCTCTGCCCATGACAGGGTTTCTAGGGTCACCGTCTCTGCTTGCACGGTCGGCGACTCTTCGAAGCGCCAACGGCGTCCGATGCGGCGAGCCCGGTCATGTAGCTCTGCCCACGACAGGTTTGAGAGCTTTGAAGAGCTCATCGTCGAACCAGTTGTAGAACTCGTCCCCGGTTGAGAGTTGTGGTGAACTCAATTCTCGAACCGGGCTCTGATACCAAATGTTAGAAACCTAATTCTAGGGTTCTAACGGTCGGATTGATGAGATTGGGAATTGATAAATATTTAGGGATTGAGATAGAATTGGGGAATAACAGAATTGGGAATTAGGGATTTAGAAGAGGAAATTGAGGATTGAGGGGAAGAATGGCCGACGGCCTAGGGATAGGTGACGAAATTGAGAGAGATTAGGGTTTGAGATACTTTCTGAATAATTGTTCTTGCTTGATTCTGAATAAAACACAAAGTACATATTTATAACGAAAGATGTGAAAACCTAATACTAAACCTAATTCTGCTAAAAGACTACTAACCATATTTAATAAAACCTAATAATAATGATAATATAGAAACTCGTTTTCCTTAGAAAACGTGTTTCTAACACTATGTCACCTGTGATGTTCCTTATGTCAGTGATTACTTATTCTGTTGAGAGAGAATTGAAGAAGCCATCAATGGGGAAGGAGTATTTCAATCGTATGAACCTTGAGGCTATTGTGACAAACTATCCCTACCGGAAGAACTTGGCACAAGAAGATGTTATGAAAGGTGTATTTCCCTGTCCAAAGAATATCTACATAATGACTCGTTTTATGTGTCTTCATCTGTGTTGAAGACGGGTCTGATGACACTTTAACTATGTACAACAGAAAGTAAAATACGATTAGCTCTGATTGATTTCTTGAAGGGACTTGTTGAGTTTGATCCTGCGAAAAGGTGGTCGCCTTTTCAGGTATTCAAGTTGCCATTCAGATATTTATTAAATACTTGCAGAGTTGAACTCTCTGGATGTTCTAATATGAATTTTTAACCAGTTCCTAGGAATAGTTTTAACCCAAATAGTCATTCTGCAGGCTTCGAAGCATCCTTTTGTTACAGGGGAACCATTTACATGCCCTTATAAGCCTCCTCCTGAGACTCCTCGCATGGTAGGTTCTTCATTGCATGTATGCTTTTACCAACCTTATATACAATAACAACACGCTGGTTTTTCCTCTCAAGGAAGCGAGCTAGTTCACTTCAATTCACCTGATTACTTCTTTTTTCTAGTTTTCTTCGATGTTGCGAATCTTCTTGATGAAAACTTACTAGGAATAGGATGACCGTCCCTGTATATATTGTCTATATTGTGCTTGTATTGTTTTCTATTTAAAAACATGCTCTTTGGGTAGTTGAATGTGTATCCCTTTTTTGTTGAAGTGAGGCTCAACCTTGTTCTATTTTATGGACATTTGTGCTGACCTATCTGTACGTATCTCTTCTTCTTGCATCAATGTGTTTTCAGCCTGTCGCTCAAACTATTAAGGTGGACCATCATCCTGGTGGTGGGCATTGGTTTGCTGCTGGTCTATCTCCTAATGTAAGCTGCTCTCTTTCATCATGATATTATGGAGTCCTTGAAAAGAGGAAGGAAAACAAAAGCTGCTGCTTGTTCTTCCAAATTAGCAGAAAATCTACTAAATCTGCGACTTGAGTAACAACTAAAACATTGATACTTTTATTTCAGGTTCAAGGCAAGATGAGGAATTCCATGCATGGCAGCACACATTTTCCGATGGTCCCGTATTCACATGCAAGTAGCTATGGCAGTGTAGGAAGCCATGGCAGCTATAATGATGGCTTGGGCCTTGGAAGTAGCTATGGAAGTTATGGAGATAGCAACAATATGTTTGCATATTATTCACCAGTTAATCATTCTGGATGCATGCATGTTAGAAACCGGCGGGTTGGGCCGGTTGGGTGAGGGGAGTGGCAGTTTCGTTATTTTCATTATTTCTGTTTTGTATTTAAGAGGAGAGAACACTATTCTGCAGAGTTAGTCAATAATCAATATTACAAACAAAATCCCTAAATCCCCAATTCTCTCTATCTCTCTCTATCTCCTGTTCTTCCCCAATTCTTCTCAAATCCCTAATTTCTTCTCTTCTCAATCCCTAATTCCCTTGTGGAACTTCTTTGTTTCTAACATCTGGTATCAGAGCCCCGTTCCGATCTGTGAGTTCTTCTCAACTCCATCAGGGACAGCTTAGAAACCAGAGAATCAGCAATGGAAAAATCAGAACTGTCATGGGCTCAGAGGTAAGAGAGGCTGTGGCAGATTGCGAACTATTGGAAGAAGGAGGCGGCGGCGTTCGGGCAGGCCGGCCGAGGCGAGGAGGCGGCCCGCGCGACGTCCGAGGGCGGCGCGGGGCAGAGCCCGATCGTCGGGGCTGGCGGGGAAGCGCCGAGGAGCGCGCGGTCTGCGGAGGAGAGCGAGGCCGAGGGCGGCAGCGCCGGTGGTGGCCGGGTCGCGGGCGAGGAAGGAGGGGAGTCGGCGGCGATTTCCCTACACTCTGTAGCTGAGATTTCGTCGCCCGGAACCCTGAGGTTTCGAGCAAAGGTGGCCAGGCAGCAGGGTCTTGTCCTCGTTGATAGTGGGGCCTCGTTGAATTTTATCGGGGAAGACTTTGCTAAGACTTTACAGGTGGCCACGAGTCCGACGAGACCGGTGGTGGTAAGAGTGGCTAATGGCGCGCCGATGCGGTGCGTCGAGGTGTACAGGGAGATGACTATGGAGGTCCAAGGTCTCGAGATCACCGTCGACTTGTATGTCTTGCCTTTGCGAGGGTTCGACATTATCCTCGGTATACCTTGGCTGCAGAGCCTAGGACCGATTACCTGTGATTGGAGAAGTCTGACGATGTGCTTCAAGTGGAGGGATAAGGAGTGGAGTTTGAGAGGCTTGACCACAGCCATTGGGCCGATCGAGATGGAGGAGTGCGCGAAGGGGGAGGACACTGAGCTCGCTGTCCTATGCTGGCCTCTATCCGCAGCAGGGAAGTCGGAGGTTGATGGGGAGATGCAGGAGCTGTTGGACCGGTACCCCGAGCTGTTCCGGGCGCCGACCACTCTCCCGCCTCACCGGCAGGTCGATCACCAGATTTGTCTGAAGGAAGGAGTGGAAGCAGTGAATGTGAGGCCATACCGTTATGGGCACTCGCAGAAGGGGGAGATCGAGAAGCAGGTAGAGGAGATGCTCGCTACCGGGCTGATTCGGCCTAGTACCAGTCCTTTTTCTTCGCCGGTACTGCTGGTTAAGAAGAAGGATGGGACGTGGAGGTTCTGCACAGACTACCGGGCTCTCAACAAGGCGACCGTGAAGGATCGGTTCCTGATCCCGACAGTGGATGACATGCTAGATGAACTGCATGGGTCGAGCTATTTCACTAAGCTCGATTTGAGAGCCGGTTACCACCAGATCAGGATGCAGGAGGAGGATGTGCCCAAGACAGCATTTCGCACCCATAATGGCCATTATGAGTATTTGGTCATGCCATTCGGGCTGTGCAATGCTCCTTCGACATTCCAGGCTGCCATGAACGACATTTTTCGGCCTCTCCTGAGACGGTATGTCTTGGTATTTTTTGATGATATATTGGTATATAGTCCTACTTGGGAGGACCATTTGAGACATTTGCAGGAGGTGTTTGAGATTCTTCGGAGGCATCAGTATTATGTCAAGGCCTCCAAGTGTGAGTTTGGGGTGCAGAAGGTGGATTATCTGGGTCATGTGGTGACGCCTCAGGGAGTACAGGTGGACCAGACCAAGATTCAAGCCATGGCGGACTGGCCTGTGCCCACCAATGTGACCGAGTTGCGCGGCTTCCTGGGATTGACCGGGTATTACCGGAAGTTTGTGCAGGGATACAGTATGATCGCGAGACCTCTGACGGACTTGCTGAAGAAAGGGGGTTTCGGGTGGTCACCGCAGGCTGAGGAGGCATTCCAGAAGGTGAAGCAGGCGATGTCCACAACCCCCACCCTGGCAATGCCGGATTTCTCGAAGACGTTCGTGATTGAGGCCGACGCCTCTGGTCACGGTATTGGGGCAGTGTTGTCTCGGGATCGACATCCCATTGCCTTCATGAGCAAGACTCTACCACCTTCGAAGGAGGCCTGGTCGACATATCAGAAGGAGATGCAGGCTATCATCACAGCAGTACAGACGTGGAGACCATATCTGCTGGGCCAGAAGTTTCACATCTATACAGATCATCAGAGTCTGAAGCATCTCCTAGAGCAGAGGGTGTCAACGCCGGACCAGCATAAGTGGATTTCGAAGCTGCTAGGGTATGACTACGAGATTCATTACAGACCGGGACCCACCAATGTGGTGGCCGACGGCCTATCCAGGCGTCCGGGTGGGGAGGTTCTCACGGCAGTGACCGGGCCCGTGCCGGAGTTTTGGGATGAGCTCCGTACCTCTTTGGAGACTAGTTCGTATCTGCAGAGCTGCCGGGACATTGCTGTGAGCGACGAGCCGGGTCGCTACCAGTTCAGACAGGGGCTGGTACTTTTCAAGGGCCGGGTGGTCCTCCCGCCGGGGTCAAACCTGGTCACTACAGTGCTGATGGAGTTTCATGACTCGCCGCTGGGGGGTCATTCGGGCGTGGAGCGGACCCTACGGCGGATTCGGGCTCATTTTTACTTGCCCCGCATGGCGGACGACGTGAAGAGCTACGTGGCATCCTGTGACACCTGTCAGAGGGTGAAGTTATCTCATCTCAGACCTGCAGGGTTGTTGCAGCCACTACCGGTGCCAGAGCGGGTTTGCGAAGACATCAGCATGGATTTTATAGTGGGACTTCCTCCCTCAGGCGGCAATACGGTGTTGTTCGTGGTGGTGGACCGTCTGACGAAGTATGCTCACTTCATGCCCTTGGCTCACCCGTACACGGCAAGGGCAGTGGCTGAGCAGTTTGTATCAGGAGTGGTGCGGCATCACGGGTTCCCTCGATCTATTGTGAGTGATCGGGATTCAGTCTTCTTGAGTCACTTCTTGCAGGAGGTCTTTGCTATGGCCAAGACGGCGCTGAAGATGAGCTCGGCCTATCACCCGCAGACGGATGGCCAGACGGAGATCGTGAACAAACATCTGGAGCAGTATCTCAGGTGTTTTGCCCACCAGCAACCCAAGAGCTGGTTGGCCATGATCCCATGGGCTGAGTTATGGTATAACACCACCTACCACAGGGCTATTCGGATGTTACCCTTTGAGGCTCTATACGGGCGAGCCCCGCCGTCTCTGGTACGATACAGGTTGGGTGACAGTTCGGTGGATGCAGTGGACAGGTGGTTGGGGGCGAGGGATGAGGCGCTCGAGCAGCTGCGGAGTACGTTGGCGGCAGCCAATAACAGGATGAAGCAGCTAGAGGATGCGGGTAGGCGGGAGGAAGAGTTCGAGGTGGGCGACTGGGTGCTGCTGCGACTGCATCCCTATCGGCAGGCCTCAGTCTTCAGGCGCGCCTATCAGAAGCTGGCTGCTCGCTATTTCGGGCCCTACGAGATTCTCCAGAAGGTCAACCCAGTGGCCTATCGTCTGCAACTGCCGGCGGAGTCTCGCATTCATCCCACCTTCCATGTTTCATTGTTGAAACGTTACAGGGGAGCAGCTGACAGAGTTGAGACGACGGCCCCGCCGGTCAGTGCGGATGGTGATCTCGAGCTGGAGCTGCTGAAGGTGCTCGAGACCAGGTGGGTGAAGAAGAAGGGACGACTGGTGGAGGAAAGCTTAGTGCTTTGGAAACATTTGGAGCCGGAGGACGCGACTTGGGAGGAGTCCGGAGACTTGCAGCAGAAGTTTCCGCACTTTGACCTTGAGGACAAGGTCAGGCTTGAAGAGGGGGAGGATGTTAGAAACCGGCGGGTTGGGCCGGTTGGGTGAGGGGAGTGGCAGTTTCGTTATTTTCATTATTTCTGTTTTGTATTTAAGAGGAGAGAACACTATTCTGCAGAGTTAGTCGATAATCAATATTACAAACAAAATCCCTAAATCCCCAATTCTCTCTATCTCTCTCTATCTCCTGTTCTTCCCCAATTCTTCTCAAATCCCTAATTTCTTCTCTTCTCAATCCCTAATTCCCTTGTGGAACTTCTTTGTTTCTAACAATGCACAGCATGGTCAGTCTATGCTTGGTAGTAGTCCTGATGCAAGGCGGAGATTTGTCCAGTATTCACATGGAATGGGCTTGGTGTAAGCCCCTCAGCAGGAACTTTGCACCTTTTCCACTTGTGCAAGCCCCTCACAGTTCACTCCTCCACCCTCCTACAATCAGGCTTCAGGTGGTTCTCCTGGACATTATGGTCCACCTTCTCCTGTAAGGAACAGTTGCCATGGATCGCCCTTGAGTAAAATGACAGCAGCTACACAATTTAATAGGAGAAAAAATTGGGGTTATTCTGGAAGCACTCAGTCCCAAGAGAGTTCAGCTTCACATTGGAAGGGGCAACATTTTGAGAATCCCAGTTCTACCCATGTTGAGGGAATTGCCTCGGCCCCTGGTAGTCAACCGTCACACCAACGGCCAAAGTCTGGTACTCCAAGTTGGACGCAACAACAAGGGGGCAGTTTTGTCCCAGGTCAATCTTCAGTTCAAAATGTGCCAGGCTCATCGAGATCTGGTACTAACATTCCATGGTCACAAAGCACTGGATTAGATCATGACAAGCCTGAGGATAACCTGTCATTGCCAGATCCTGGGGATTGGGATCCAAATTACAGGTGAGATGGTCCATGCATCTTCTGTTTCACTTGAGAAACATGTCACAAGAATATTAAATGTATTTGTTTATGCCTTTCTGGAAAAAAGTTGACTACAAGTTTAGGAGCAGATACTCTCCTCATGCTTGCTTTGTGTTGTACTTAGTAACTATAGGAGGAAAATTGGAATTAGCAAGTTCGTTTGGTTTTCCCCATTGCTAGGAGAATCCCAAACAAAGACACCCGTTACAGGAGAAATAGTGAGTTGGTTGACTATCTAATCTTTACTTCGAACAACGTTTCACTGTAGTTATTGGTTTCTAATAAGATACAGGACCTGACCACATTGAAACTAGCAGTGAAGTTGATTGTTATTACTTTAGCAAGAGGTATGTGATGTTTTGTTCACTTGATGATTGGTTACTATGCATAATACACTGTTTAGTTCGAGTTAGGATCAATGTACTTTGTTAGGGAAATTAAAAATTTTCTATCGCACAACTCTTTGGCTATATGCCTCAGTGTAACTTATTGCATAGCAATTTGCTTCATATTTTTGGGAGCGCCAGGGGATCAATGTTCATACTTTCTCTTCTGTCATCATACTTTTTTTTTGTTGCTTTTATCTATCCTGAAATAGCGAGCAGTGCTTTTGCTGTCATACCTCGGGATGCATCAATGTGTCACCTTTCGCTCAACTAATTGCATCTCGTGCATGTTTCAGTGATGAACTTCTTCTGCAAGAGGATAATTATGATGTCGGCTCCTTAAGTACTGAATTCAGCAAAGGTGTCAATCTTAGTTCTGGCAATCAGCCAGGTACTGTAAGAAGATCCAACCATCAATCAAACCCGAGCTCTTATTCCTTAGTTCAAAGGTATGGTCTCGATAAGTTCATCCTACACTTTGTTTTATCGTGTTTTGTGATTGATGAAACCAACACTAGCATCGCGACAGCTGGAGTGGATAAGTATATAAAGTCATAACATTATTGACTGATAATTGGAATCGTTTTCTGTTCGCAACTTGATCTCTTGGCAATTATTGATTGGCATTACGTTCATATTAGAATGTTGCTTGCAACTTGAATCCTGTCTTGTTACCTATATCTTGTACCAGACAAAATGGTTTTGTGCAATCATTTTCACATGTCAACGTGGGAAGTCCTCCTTCAGCACACGAACTGCATGCTGGTAGCTATGGCCATTCAATGTCAAAGCCATCCCATTTCACACCCCATCTTCCTCAGAACTCTCCAAGACGACTAGGACAGCAAGCCAGTCATCGTGGTACTCATGGGAGACCTGCTTATGGTGGGGAGTGGAATCACAAAGTTCAGCCCCCCACAGTTTAGCTTTAGTTCTGGGGGCTCGCTTTCTCCTGGAAGTAGTTCATACAACAATGGCATTCCCTGGGGTATGTGTCAGACTCACTTTGAAATCTATTAGTGTAGGGTGGTATGACCCAATTCTGAAACAGGTGTTGTTTTACGATTGTTTTGTAGGGCGTAGGGCTAATTATCCAGGACCAAGCATTCCTCCAGCATCTAGAGGAAGAAAAGATCATGGAAGATTTGTGTAATTTTTGGTTATCAGCTTGATTCTTTTGCTGCAAGGGGACACAATGTATTAGAGTGTTGGAAAAGGAAGAGTTTTACTCAGTAGTCCACATGCTTTGTGGACTGATGCTTAGGAAAATCCTCATCCTCATTCATTCCGCTTGCAAAAATATAAGCTGTGGTGTCTATCTTTTTATTTCTCCTTTGGCTTGACTTATACATGTGCAATCAGATATCAAATTTCTTTACTGCTTCTTGGTCATCCTTTCTTATGAGTCGATACCTCGTAATGTGGATCTTGAATTTATTTATGCAATGTGCATTTTTTGAGCTACAATTGGATCTAACTGGGTAATTGAAGTCATTGCAGTAGTTGCAGGGCAGTAATGTCAGCCAGCCACCTCGTAGAAGAAGTGATAACTGAAGCTTCCTGTCAAGTGATAACAGCTTGCCTGCCAGGTTTTTACATGGAGTGTGTAAGCTAGTTGGGTTTCTTTGTATGGTTCTATTGTCAATAAACTATGTTTTTGCTGCATCAAGTTTGTTGTACCCGATGCCAAGTATTCATGAGTTTGGGTTTGCACAGTAGACCTGTGATATGGCTTTCATTAACTGGAAAAACGTCTGGGTTGAATAGTACGTTTCTGTCCTTTTTGCGTGGTGTAAGAAAGTCAGTTAATTGAGAAGCAGGCAGCCTCTTAAATTTGTTCTGTGAGTTTCTGTTTGGTATCTTGACTTGAAGCATCAGATGGCGGGTGCTACATTTCATTCCCATTGTCGCATCCTTTCATAGAGCAATATATGTATTTGACCGACCATTCGATCCTGGTTAAGCATTGCTTTGCGTTTGGTTTCTGATTGATTTATCTTGTGGGTGTGTCTTTGGAAAGGGAATTAGAGCTGCTGCTACTGTCAACAGCTAATTGATGTAATCAATTCGCTTGTTTTGTACTGCAAATGTCGATTTCTCTCGAGGGTTGAGAACTGAGATTAGTTGAAGTTGAGAATCATGATTTTGTCCAATTTTCTTCTTTTCGGAGACTTACCATCGAAGCAGTAGATTCTGCTTGTACTGTTTTCTTGTGAACCGGTAAATGATGTTGCATGTAGTATTAGCTACGATACTTGAATCTTAATGAAATATATATGAGATGTTAGCGTAGTAGCTACAAGTTTAGGAAATAAGAGGGACACAATCCGTAAACAATTTTAGGGTTTAATAGCTGATTTGTGCTCTCAAATTGTGGTGTTGTCTAAAAGGAGTGATACGTGTGGTGGAGTCGACCTTGAGTCATTGTGTTTTATTTCCAATCGTTCTTCTTGTTGTTGTTGTAATATGATCCTAGTGATCTTCTAGTATTGGTGATTCAGACTCGTTTCGGTATGAGGGTGACTAAAGAAACTTTTGAATTTGAATGTACTTATTGAACTTGGCTAATGGATATCGAGATATGGGAGATGCCATAGAAACAAGGTGCTAAGATTTCCTAGAAGTGGCCATAAGTGAAGCATTGAGAATGAGCACAAGGATATCGAAATCGGACCAATGATGTGATGAGATTCATTGGTGCAGATACAAATTGAGGGCAAATGAAATAGAATGGGAAGCAACACTGTTGTAGTATTGGTGTGCTTCGTATGTAGGTTGTCAAAACAAATGTCCGTCATGAAGATCTAGTCCTTTTTGTCACGATTGATATCATGGTAATTTAAACGATATATTAGAAATTAAACGAATCTTTTTTTTTATAGTGGAAATAAATGGATCGAGAAATGATGAGGTGGATTCATTATTGGAGGAGATGAAGAATCTGTTGAGAGGGGAGGATATGAGTTTAGTCGACGAAGGATGGCAACCACACGTTGGTGTGGTATCGAATGGCTAGGGATTGAATTTTGGTATCGCTATTTCTGGTATACGGAATAACGTACTAAATATATCATTCTTTGGTATTTTTTTAATACCGTGTTATTTTTTGGGGATTGAGATTGTGAATGATTTGGGATGTAAATTGATACTCGGATTATGAGATTAGGTCGGAATATACCGAAATATCGAGACATATTTTACGGTTATTTGAATATACCAATTTTTCTATACTAATAGAACTTTACGCTATTTTTTTTAATGGCTCACCAAAGCTGAATTTTTTTAGAAGTTCATTAAAGATGTTCTATTTGCCAAAAAGATTTCCTTTTCTTTTTTGTTTTTGTTTGTCCGCTCCTCTTTTATACCCTATAAAACTTCTGGTCATTGCTCACAATTTTGACAACTAGCAAGCTCCCATCCTATGAACATTTAACTTCGGATTTTCTTAAGGTCACTCTAGTTTCTCATTCAATCTATTTTTATTTTCATGACACCAAAAAGTCGACACTCCCATTATTTGTTTCTAAGTCTCCACTCCATCAGATCGAAGATTACCAAGAGCGTGAAATGGAGATATCACCATCTCATCCCTTCTCTTTGTCCTTGCCTTAGCTTGAGACAAACTAAAGAAACTTTTCTTAGGCACATAGTCCCAATGTGATGAATTCATTAAATTGATACTATGATTGAATCCAAACAATTGGGGACGTTGTGTAGCTTTTACTAGACTTTTCTCACCTCAACTACTCATCATCAAGGTTTTCAATTATGGAATTAAACCTACAAGCCTCAACCATAGAAAAGTTGTTGAGATTAGAGGGTGAAGGTCTCATCTTTTCCTTGCCGTTTCAGATCCGAGATAAACCTCTTCGGCTACGCAGGGCTAGGGTTGATCTATAAAAATCTCTTTCATTGTCCTAGTCATTTGGATCTCTAAGCGAAACACTTGGATCCTTCTCATCAAGGTTCTCACTCAACATGGTTTTTCATATTTATTCGTGTCATGAGTCTTTGCAACAAAGATCCACATGTCTTTTATAGTGCAAGTGTCATTCTCAAGTTTGTAACAAATGCACTTTCATTCAAAAACCATGAGAGAGAACTATCCATCCATGTGATGGGCTCATAACCCGAGCTGGTCGTGGATCGAGGAGGGAGATGGAGGCCCAACCGGGTTCGGGCGAAGTGCGTCGTGCCTGATCATGAAGACCATTAGTTGGAGGATCCACTGCTGCTTGTGTAGGAAGTTTATTAGTTAAGATTGGATTTCATTGTTGCTGATTTGATTTGGTTGTTAGTGGAGTCGATGTCCACGTAGCTGTTAGGATTTGTCTGGTCGGATAGGTGTAGGGAGATCAGATAGATTCTCCAAATCGTAGGAGATCAGGGTATCAGTTTGTGAACCCGATCGTTAAGCTTTATCCTCTATATATAGAGGGTTGAAATGAATAAGAGCAGAATATTATTAATAGAAAAACAAGAGTTACACGGGCTGGTTCTCGCCAAAAGAAGAACAAGCTCACACCCCTAATTTCCAAGTTTCAACACTTGGTATCAGAGCACGAATCTATGGGACTAAAATCCGTGGCAGACAAGGAGAGGATCGAGTCTCTCGAAGCTAACCTGAAAAGCATTCAGGAGGAGATCCAAACTGCCATTTCGGATGACGTCTGTCGAGTTGAGGGATCGGTGGCTGAACTAGGAGGTTCCGTAGCTGAACTCGGTGGCCGTCTCCAGGCCTTGGAAACTCACTCAGCCACCGCTCAAGATAGCATTGATGAGATACTCTGACTTCTCCAACGTCGACCTCCTGCCACCGATGGTGACCGATCCTCTGTAGGGTCTAGCCTCCACTTCCTACGGGGAGACAGGAGGGGAGAACGAGACGACGGGGAAAGGGACGACCACCGGGATGAACGTCATGACGATCACCGTTACGAGAGGGACGAACGACGTGCCGTTCATGGTCGCTATGAGCGCCGGGAAGAACATCCTCGGCCCTTGTTCCCAGTGAGATACACGAAACTAGAGTTTCCGCGCTTCGCCAGGAATGATCCAACTGAATGGTTTACCCGTGTAGACCAATTCTTTGAGTACCAGAATGTTGACGAAGAGCAGAAGGTGCCATTGGCTTCTTACCACCTCGAGGGTGAAGCCAACAAGTGGTGGCGGTGGCTGCAGAATTCCTACGCTCAGGAGGGAACGCATGTCACCTGGGAGTTGTTCTCCGGGGAACTATGGAACCGATTCGGCGTGGCTGATGAGGATGATGCCGACGAAGCGCTATCCTGTATCCATCAAACAGGAACTCTCCGAGATTACTAGAGGGAGTTCGAACGACTAGGGAACATAGTCCATGGTTGGACACAAAAGGCACTAGTGGGAGCGTTCATGGGTGGTCTACGAGCAGAGATCTTGGAGACCCTACGTCTTTACCATCCAGAATCTCTCAAGGAAGCCATACGGCTTGCTCGCATCCGCGACGAGCAGCCGCGAAGAATAAAATCATCTAACCGACCGATAATCCGAACAATAGGTGATTCTACCAACAAAAGTCCCGAGGAGCTGCCACATCGAGGTCGGAGTCAGATCATCGCCCACCGGATTCCTTGGGAAGAACAACAACGTCGAAGGGCGGCAGGCTTTTGTTTCAATTCTGATGAAAAGTACTTACCCGGACACCGCTGCAAACGGTTGGCACTACTCCTTTGTGAAGGGGCGGAGGAAGAAGATGAGGAGTTGGAAGAAAGTGAAGTCTCCTTTCACGCCATGAATGGACTAACGGCGGGCCAACGATGAGATTATGGGCCCAAATGGGCCCATCCCAAGTCATGATACTTGTTGGCAGTGGTTCGACGCATAATTTCGTGGCTTCTCACATTGCGGCCCAACACCAATTGCCGGTAACTCACGTAAGGAAGGTCGACGTCAAGATTGCCAATGGAGTTCCTCTTCCATGCACTTCCTGACATGACCAAGTCAAGCTGATGGTACAAGGATTGGAATTCTCTCTTTCCTTCTTCGCCATTGACGTTGCGGGAGTTGATGTCATGTTGGGTACCCAATGGTTGGCCTCGTTGGGTAATGTACTCTGCAATTGGCAAACATTGAAAATGGACTTAGAATGGCAAGGTCAAAGAAGGAGGTTGAATGGGATAACTCCTCATACACAAGCTGTTGCGTCCCTTAAGGGACTACTCAAGGAAATCCCACGACATTGCCATTGCCTAGAGCCATTACCCACCGAATTCAGCTCAACGAAGGGGCTGACGCCATCAACATCAGGCCATACAGGTATGCTTATTTCCAAAAGAAAGAGATTGAGGATCAAGTTGACAAAATGATGCATGTCGGTCTCATTCACTCTAGTACTAGCCCCTTCTCGTAAAAAAGAAAGATGGAACTTGGAGGTTTTGCACCGATTACCGAGCTCTCAACGCCGTCACAGTTAAGGATAGGTTCCCCATCCTGACCGCTGATGACATGCTAGACGAGTTACACGGGGCAACTTACTTCACGAAGCTCGACTTGCGAGCTGGCTACCATTAGGTAAGGATGCACGCCTAAGACATACCAAAAACATCATTCCGGACCAACAACGACCATTACGAATATCTCATGATGCCCTTTGGGCTCTGCAACGCACCCTCAATCTTTCA